TTAAATTATTTTTATATAATAAAATAGTTCAAAATAAGAATAAAGTATGTATTAATTGATATTGCAGGACTTGTTTGATGTTTCTATCTGATTCTGCAACTTTTGTGTCTTCTCTTCTGTTTGCGGTTCATCCTATACATACAGAAGCAGTAAGTTGTTTAGACTGCTTTCTATATCGATCGAATCGATCGACGTTACCTTGAAATTACACGAGAATATTATTTGATAATTATTTCTAGTCCTTGTTCTCCTCTTCGGCGACAATGTATCAATGTATCCAGATTCAAATGGTCGACGTCGAGCGATCGATCGCGTCGTAGTTCCTAGTTCGTGTTTAGATGCATTGTCAGTGGATAATCGTGTATTAAGGTTACAGGAGTGGTCGGAAGAGCAGAAACATTGTCCTCCTTATTTTACTTAGCGGCTTTAATCACATATACTAAATGCTGTAGAAGTAGAAGATCTACAGGTATTTAATTTTTTTTATTTTTTTAACATTTATTATTGTAAATTATTATTATTTATTAAAATAGATATTATTTTTATTTTTAGGATGGAAATCTTTGATATTATCTATGTTTTTTGTTTTCACTGCCATGTTATGTAAAGAACAAGGAATAACAGCTACTGCAGTTTGTGTATTTTATGAAATTTTTGTTGTACAAAAGGTAAATTAATATATAAATATTATAATTTAAAAAAATTTTTTTTAAATTTATATATTTTATTATTCGTTTAGATAAGAGCAGTGGATATTTTCCTAACATTAAAGGCAGCTTTTGGTGGGAAAAAAATATCACTTACTTGGTCCACTGAAGGTACAAAACGATTGACGGTCCTTACGCTCGTTACATTTAGTTTACTTATCCTTCGACTACATGTAATGGGCTCAAAGTTACCTGTATTTACCAGGTATCTGTAAATAATTATAAGTGTTATATGCGTTTAATTAAAAATTGAAATCAAAGAATCTTGTTTTTTTATAAATATAAAATTCCTATAATAAAAATTAATAATTCTTTTTAATATTTCAGATTTGACAATCCCGCGTCAGTGGCTCCAACGCCAATAAGACAACTTACCTATAATTACCTCGCAGCAGTTAATTTAAGACTACTATTTCTTCCAAGCGATTTATGCTGTGATTGGACTATGGGAACGATACCGTTGATAGAAAGTTTTTCGGATCCTCGCAATCTTGCTACTATAGCAACTCATACAACCATACTAGGATTACTGATAACAGCAATTTTAACACCTAATAGACAAACTTCTATTATTCTTATAATGGTTAGTATTAAATTAATTTTGTATTTTTTTCTTAAATTAAGGTATAATTTTAAAAAATTGATTATGGAATTTTTTATATAGAGTTTGGCTATGATGGTACTTCCATTTTTACCTGCCTCAAATCTTTTCTTCCCAGTGGGATTTGTCATTGCTGAAAGAGTATTGTATGCTCCATCTATGGGATTTTGTATGCTTATTGGATATGGATGGAGCATTTTATGCGATAAAAAGTAAATTATAAATATTCAAATTTTTTTTATAAATATTCAAAATTTTCTTGGACTATATTCTTAATTTAAACTTTTCATATTTATAGATTTAAGAAATTAACACTATTTTTATTAATAACTCTTTTGGCCGCGCATACAACAAAAACCTTTATGAGAAATTACGATTGGTTAGATGAATATTCCATATTTATGTCAGGATTAAAAGTAAACGATCGCAATGCCAAATTATTTAACAATGTTGGGCATGCTTTGGAAAGTCAAGGAAAATTCAAAGAAGCATTGAATTTCTTCAATATGGCTGTGCAAGTTCAAGGTGATGATATTGGTGCACATATTAATGTGGGTAGAACTTATAATCATCTGAAGATGTTCAAAGAAGCTGAAGATGCATACTTAAAAGTAAATGCATAATTAAAATAATATAATTATAAAATTATTTAATAATAATATTTATAAAGTTCAACAAAACAAAACTGTTTTAGGCAAAATCTTTATTACCAAAAGCAAAACCTGGAGAGTCTTATCAAGCGCGAATAGCTCCAAATCACTTGAATGTTTTTGTAAATTTAGCAAACCTAATAGCGAAGAATGCAACTAGGTTAGAAGAAGCTGATCTGCTTTATAGACAAGCCATTAGTATGCGCGCAGATTATACGCAAGCGTATATTAACCGAGGTGATGTTTTAATTAAACTTAATCGTACCAAAGAAGCCCAGGAAGTTTATGAACGAGCTCTTTTCTACGATAGTAACAATCCAGACATTTATTATAACGTAAATATAAAAAATAAAATCATTAAATATTAATAATATTTATTAGAAGATTATATATTATGTTAATTTTATTTTTAAAGCTTGGAGTCGTATTTCTTGAACAAGGGAAAGCATCTCAAGCTCTAGCATATCTTGACAAAGCTCTTGAATTTGATCCAGAACATGAACAAGCGTTACTAAATTCAGCCATTTTACTTCAAGAATTAGGACGCGCCGAACTACGAAAAGTAGCTAGAGAAAGACTTCTAAAACTCTTACGAAAAGTATTTTTCTTCATATTTTTTCATATATAATATCAAAATAATATTTCAAAATATTCTTTTCCATTATTTTAATAATGATTACTTTTAGGATTCCAACAATGAAAGAGTTCATTTTAATCTTGGAATGCTAGCTATGGATGACCATGATAGTGGAAGTGCAGAAAGATGGTTTCGCAATGCTGTTGCACTCAAAGAAGATTTTCGTTCTGCTTTATTTAATTTGGCTCTTTTATTAGCAGATGAACAACGTCCTCTTGAAGCTGCTCCATTTTTAAATCAACTGGTTAGATTTCATCCGGACCACGTTAAAGGATTAATCCTTTTAGGTGATATTTACATAAATAATATAAAAGATTTGGATGCTGCTGAAAATGTAAGTTTATCATTACAAATAATAAATATTTTTAAATATTTCAACACTAATATAAAAATTTTTAAATTTTTATATTTTTTACAGTGTTATCGTAGAATTCTGCAGTTGGATCCAACAAATATTCAAGGTCTTCACAATTTATGTGTTGTAATGGTTGAACGTGGTAAATTGGGTTTAGCTGCTCAATGTTTGGAACGTGCAGCAGCTCTAGCACCTCATCAGGATTATGTACATAGACATCTGGCTATTGTTAAGGCTCGTATCAGTAGATTATCTCCGGAACAACGTGATACAGAAGTGTTTGACGATTCTTTTTGGCAAAATGGTCCCAAAGAAAGAAACTTTAACATGGGAGATATTTCCAACAGTAATGGTATTGGAAGTACTAGTGGCACAAGTGGTCTCAATAGTATGGAAAATAGCCAGTTTTTAAGCAAAACGGATTCTGTTTTTTCAAATCATCATAATCATATTGGTCATAAAAGAAGTAATACAGACTCAACGAATCATATGGTGCATCTGAAAAGTTCATCAAAATCTGCAAGAGTTACACTGACTGAAATGAAACCGGAAATAAAAAATACGCACATCGATCATGATAAATCAAGTGCTAATTTGAATAATCAACAAAAATATTCCTCTGGAAATTTTTTTAATAAAAACATGAACTCAGATGCAACGGAATTGACAATCGATCGAGAACGTGCGATTAATTCGGAAAAATTTGATAGGACTGCACCAGCATTTTCAACAGGCGGAAAGCATGAAACTATACGTCGAAAGGATACCGCACTTTCATAGTACTGATATTTGAAAATTACGCCGAATATTGTATAAAGTTATATTCTATATATAACGAAAAAATATGGTGGTACAGTCGTATAGAGCTAATGTGTGAATATAAAATAAATACAGAGTATTGTTTTATATGCTGTACGAATAGAATGTTTTGTAAAATATATTTAAAAAATGTGCATTTCTTTGGTTTTGTTTTTTCGTTTATGCGAATAGAATTTATCATTGTCCAAAAATCATAATTATCGTTTCATCTTTACAATATTTCACTGCTTTCGAAAATATTTTTTATTATTTTATTTTTTTTAGAATAATTTTTACGAACGAGTATTAAAATTCACATATAATATCCATTAAGAATTTGAAAATTTGTTTCTAAATTCGATTATGTATATATAACGTATATAACTAATTATAAATATATTATATTTCGTAAAAAATTTTTATTAGAAATTATATCATTATCATTACTTTTTGGATTATATTATTTTATTCAATTTCTGACATAAAATCAAAATTTTTGAATTAAAAAATTTATAATAGGAGAATATAATTAGAAAAGAAATGACATACGAAATTTTTTTCGGATTCTTGAAATATCATAAAACATAAATCAGAATTTTAAAAAAAGAAATTAGAAGTAGATATCATCTCTAAGTGAATGAAATTTATAAATATAAATGACAGTATAGGTAAAAATTATTAAATCAGCGCCATCTTCAGAGCACTGCAAATGAAATATAAAAAAAAAAAAAAAAAAAAAAAAAAAAAAAAAAAAAAAAAAAAAAAAAAAAAAGAATAGATATAGTGCAAGAATTGATTGTTACTGCCATCTCTCGAGTGACAGATATATTTTTTTGATGGATAGGATAAGCTAAGGAAAAATTAAAGATCAGTATCATTTTTTAAATATTTTTAAAAGATATCTTCTATTCAAAAGATAGCAATAATAATCAATTTTTATATTATCTCTATCCTTTTCTAACTATTTATTTTTCTTATTTATATTTGTTTCATTTGCAATATTTTGAAGAGAGGTTGATTTTCTAATTGTTATCTTATCTCCATCTTTTTTTCATTAATTATAATATATATATATATATATATATATATAATTTTTACTTATATATTTTGCGTTTGAAAATTAATCATTATATTGTAATTTATTTTATTTTATTTTTGATATAATGAATATGTACTATATGTAAATTTATATTTAATATTAATCTAAATATCTTTTTAAGATAGAATAATAAGATTATGATATATATAAATGTATTTTTAGATTTTTAATCACTTTATTAAATTGATCATACAAAATGCATGAAATCATCAAAGAAAATGAAATTACCATTTTTCTGTTGTGGCACCTCCCCAACTTTGTCCTGCTGCAGATTGTGTTGTAGCAGACCATTCTTCTGAAGTCTAAAATATAAAGAAAATAAATAATAATTTGATTTAATATCAAATTTTAAATTTACAATTAAACTTATTTATTGAACTTATTAAAATTAAACTTATAATTAAAAAATATTCACTTGAGCAGCCCAGTCTCCACTGGTTTGGAATGCTTGTGCAGCACCTGCTGTAGGAATAGTAGCAGCAGTTGGTGTCGCTACATCATCAGCCCAATTCTCAGGAGCAACTGCTCCTGCTGTATCAACTTCATTGACCCAGCCAGGTTCAGCAGCAGCTGCAACTTCAACTGCTCCAGCAAAATCTTTAGCTGGTGCTATTTCCTTAGCTGCTTGTTCTTCTTTCTCAGCCTTAAAACAATATTTTAGAACTTTATTTATTAATATAAATTAGATTAAAATATAAGCAAATTGTAAAAATATATTCAGTAAAGATTAAGCCATATAAATAAGGTCAACAAATATATTTCTGGATACTTTTTCATCATTTATAAATTATAAATGAAATGAAATAAAATCAAAGTTTTTTTTTTCATATTGAAATTGCATTAATAGTATGAATAACTTAATAATGATTGTATATTACCTCCTCTGGATCTCTATAGAAGAATAAATCTACAACAACATCCCATTTAGTTTCACGAGCAATAGAGCCTCTTAATCTTAATACTTCTCTTGCCAATAGCCACCACATCAGACCAACACAATGAAGACTTTTTGTATTACAGGGAATTGCAATGTCAACAAAACGAAGAGGTGAATCAGTATTACAAAAAGCAATTACTGGAATATTTACATAACTGGCCTCAGTAATTGGTTGATGATCAGTAGATGGATCAGTAACAATCAAAAGTCGTGGTTCACGAAAAGCTGACTAAAACAATTAATTAAAATTAATATAAAATAATAATTTGATCATATGAATATGAAATTTTTAAATAAAAAAAAATAGGTTAAATCAAAATAAGTTAATAAATATAAATTATGAAGAATTAATGCTTATCATTTATATATAAATATATAAAAATAATTAATTTATATATAAATATTTATATTAAATATATATCAACCTGTATTTGATTAGTAAATGCACCAGGAGTAAAACGTCCTGCAATAGGTGTAGCTCCAGTATGTTGTGCAAATTTCAAAACAGCTCTTTGTCCAGTTTGTCGGCAACTAATGACAAAGACTTCACTGGGATGTTCAATAGCAACAATGGCACGTGCTGCCAATAATAATTTCTCCCATGTATGGCGTAAATTAATAATACTGACACCTGCATTTAAAAATAATAGCAAAAAATAATAAATCATATTAACTAACAATAAAATGTAACTTTGTATCAAATAAAATTTACCATCACTTTTCTTTTTGTATACATATTGTTCCATTTGAAAATTAACATTTTCTGCACCTAAGTGAGTATAGGCAGCCAACATTTTTGTAACATCATCCTCTTTGAGAGATAATACATCTAAACCTCCTGACATCTTAACGTTGAGATTGACTTACGAATAACCTATAAATAAAATACGAATAAAATACAAATATTGACAAATAATTATTTTCAACTTCATGATTTTAATTATTACTTGTTTTATTCACTTATTACGTGTTATTTTGATATCTTTTTATAAATATCATAAATGAATAATTTCAAAAAACAAAAACATAATTAATAACCTGAAAAGATGACTATTTTATTTCAAAATATAAAATGAACAATATTTGATATATTGAATATTTAATATATTCAATATAATATTTAAGCATATAAATCTTAACAAAATGAAAGTTTTGTGTTAAAAAATATTGCTATTATTAAAAATTGCTATTATTAAAAGAATGCCACGTGTTAGAACGTAACCATTATATGAATTTAATATAACTATTTAGTATTATTATATAAATTATTATATAAAATTGAATCCTTATATAATTATTGTTTATTAATTAATAGTTTTTTTTATTATATGAAATAAAATATATTATAAATAAAGAAAAATATTTCAATAAACTCACGTTATCAATGCCACTAGGAGACTTCCAACCGGAAAAGAAGGAAGCTTCTAAACTTCTGCTGCTTTAATTCAGTTCCATTACGAGGAAAGAATATTACAAAATATATATATAATTATAAATAAAATTAATTGTTTTAAAATAGTTATGTCTAAAAATGTAAATTCAATTCAATTTTTTAAAAAATATACAATTTAAAATTATGTTGAAAATAAACTAAGTTTCACCGGGAAATTTAAATATTAATAAAATGAGATGCAAATTTCACAAATAAAATTTATGAAATTATTATTAAAATTTGTTGAAGTATACTTTTTTCGTTTTTCAACTTATATAATATTTGATTTTAAAAATATACAATTAATTTATATTCTTCAAAAATTATTATATTATATTTATATTCATAAAAAAATAAAATAATAATTTTTCAAATTAAATAGATTATAAAAAATATAATATTTTAATATAATGTCATGATTTTATATATATTGATTATTATATATAATTATATAATATTTTTATAATAATAAAAACATAATTTTAACATCTTTAGAATATTTTGTACCCTAACCTATAATATGAGATATTCCCGAATCATTATCCTCCTTTCTACAAATATATAATTAACAAACTGTAATATATTATATATGAAAAAAACAATTTCCTAAAATGGTGTAAAAGAATGTATCCGGCAAATCATAAAACTATTTTTGTTTTGGATCATACACCATATTTTGGTATATCTACTGAAGCTCCTCTAGAATTTGATTTTTTAAAGAGTCGCAGTCAAAACTTAATTCCTTTAGCACCTGTTTGTAAATCTTTATGGACGACCAGTGTAGAAGCTTCATTAGAATATTGTCGAATAGTATGGGATCTCTTTCCAACTGGAAAATTGGTACATTATTTTAAATTATTATTATTAATTAAGATTTTTATATCATTTTAAATAAAATAAATTATTTTATCTTTTACAGATAAGATTTGTTGTGACTGATCGTGCAGCCTATGTATTAAACTCATGGAGTCCATCGCAACAAAATTTAAATCATGTTAATTATATTAGATTGTCTATATATAATATTAAAAAATAATATTTCTAATCAAAATTTTTATAATTTCAGATAATGAATGGCACAGCCATTTTAGGAGTACCAACAAAGACTCCAAAACCTGGAGATGATTATTCAGTAATACATGGTTTAAGAGTAGCTATTGAAACACTTAATGAATGTTCAGAAATTCAACATGAAAAGAGAACATCATTAAATGAAAATGCTAGTAAACTTGTTAACAGAGGTCGAGTAATATGTATTACTAGTGCTCGAGATAATAGTAATATGAAAAATTTGGAAAATATATTTTTAAATGAATTGACTCAAGAAAATAAAAATGCTTTAGCTTCAGATCAGTTAGTAATTAAATTTATATTCTATAACAAGTACATTAATTTTATAATATCTGCTTTTTTGATTTTCAGTTTAATACCTGTAGATTATTGTCATTTAGTTATATTGAATATTTTTCCTAACAATATTGAATCACAAGTTACTAGCCAGGGACCAAGAGAGGTATTTTACTCACACTTGTTCTACATATATAAATTCGAAATTTTTAAATGAAAAATATATTTTTATAAAAAATGTGATTTCAGGTTTCATCATTATTAACAGTAGAAGTACATTCAATTAAGGCACCTGCTTTACATTCAAAATTATCTCATTTAATTTTATCTCATTATGATCTGGCTAGTACAACAGTAACTGGTATACCAATGAAAGAAGAACAAAATGCTAGTTCTTCTGCAAATTACGATGTTGAAATATTTCATTCTTCAGCTGCACATTCTACAATTTTAAAAGGTTTTATAATTAACTTTAAAATATAAATTATCTAATAACAATATCAATATACAGATACAATTATATAAATATTTTGTAGGAAATCCTCAAGATTCGGCTTTAATTAAGACATTTAGAAGATTTGAAGAAGGATCAGAATATGAAACTGTTACTCTAAAATGGTGTACACCACGAGGATGTAGTGCAGCTGAAATGCAAAATTGCACGGCTATGCATCGAATCACACCTGTTGATGTAAATAGTAGACCTTCATCTTGTTTGATTAACTTTTTACTAAATGGTAGATCTGTTATGCTTGAAATGGCAAGAAAAAGTGGAGGAAAAACTATTTCTCATTTACTTGCTGCACATGGTGGAGAAATTTTTATACATACATTATCTACTGCTAGAAGCGTATTAGAGGACCCACCTTCTATTAGCGAAGGTTGTGGTGGTCGCGTCACTGATTATAGGATAACTGTAAATATATATTTTAAATTTTTTTTTGAGATTTAATATTTTTCATAATATTTTTTTATAATTGGCGATTATCATAGGATTTTGGAAGACTAATGCGAAATAATATTTTGGTGCCTTTAAAAAGAAGTACAAATTGTAATAGCGAAGGTCCAGCAGAAAAGATGAGATTTAGATTAGAACGACATACAAAATATTGGCCAATTACTATTTCTAGTACACTAATGTTTAATCTAAAACAGGTATATATTTTAGTTGATAAATTTTTGTCTTTTGATATTTAATAATAATATATTTATATAATTTAGTTAATAGACCCATTACCAGATTTGATGGTAAAGGAAGAGCTTACTACAGATGAAGTTTTACAATGCAAACAAGTGATTTTTAGTTTGTTACAATTGGAAGCAAAACATGAAGCATTACCATTACCAAGTATAGGAGGTGGCCGCGGTGGAAAAGGTGGAGTACGAAGAGAAGAACATTACAGATTATTATGGGGAGAATTAGAAACATTTTTAAAACATCATGCAAATAATTCTGCTGCACATTCTGAAGTTTTAACTTGTCTTCTTGAAGTACGAAGTAAAGACGATAAAGATAAAGTTGAATTGGATCAAGCATTACGTGAATTAGATGGGTAGGAATAATTTTTTATAAGATTTTAGCATGATATTATAATATTAATTAAAACTATGTATTTTTTTTTTTATCGTTTAACATAGATTTGGAAAAGAAGATGGAACTGCTCGAGCTAGTGTAATAAGAGCAACAACCGATTCACCGATGTCTCCACCGCCAAGTACATCGATATCTCTCGGTAAACAACTTCACAAAAGTGGTATTTATGCTCCTAAAAGTTTATTGGATATTTGGTTGCAACGAAGTGCACCTAAAGAAAAAAAACCTGATTTTCACGGAAGAGTAAATAATGATGGTCTTAAAGCAAAATTATATCCCAATTTAAAAGAAACTGGACGAGAACCACGTGAGCCTATCTTGGAAGGCTAAATATTTCAATATTTAAATATTGAAAATTTGTTAAAATAAAAAAATTATCTATCAATAAATCGTTCTCTTCTAGACATAAATCATAACTGTAATAATTACTATTTGTTATTTTTTATTATTCATATAATGGACATTCTGCTATAGTACTATCAACAAAAAAAAATTTATTAAACTATAACTAATCTTTTATTGTATTTAAAACTTTTTCCCATCATTATTGGGTATGTATTAATTATCTTTTTGACATGTATATATATTTTTAGTGAATATGAACAAAAAAAGAATGTGTATTCATTTCAGTTTAAAAGATAGGAAGTTTGAAAAATTAATTAATAATTATTTTATAAAATTATATAAAAATAAAGTTACAAGGGCAAACGTCACAACGTCATCCAACAAAAAAAGACATTTAGAAAATGAATTCTCCTTCTCTCGAAGATATAAGCAGCAGCGCAAAAGTGTATCAGTGGTACAACGAAAGCGATCTGATTCTCATCCCCGCGTCTTTCGTTCCTCAGTGTTTTACAATGGCAGACACGTCTAGTGGGTGTCTGAGCCACCGCGAATACGTTAACCTCCATCGAAACTATAGCTCTCTATCATCTCTCTCTTTCTTTTTCTTTCTCTCTCTTTCTCCCCTCACTGGAATTCCGCCGCTAATCGATGGAAGGAAGGAGGAAGGTATGCTTGCACATAATGTAATGCGAGCATGAGAGGAGAAAAAGAGTGACGGAGACAGAATCAACGAATGAGGTGAAGCACACAGAGGGAAAGAGAGACGGAGGGGAATCGGAGAGTACAAGTGCGTGACGTAATGGTTCATTCATCCTGAGACAGACGATATCCCGGTCAATGGTGTATATACATATATAAATATATATATGTATAAGTACATATATACACATAAGTACACGCATCTCTATGTATCCATCTTGATACATATATATGTGAATATATGTGTTACACGTACACATGTACGATATCTGTGTATGTGTCACGTAAAATGCAGTCGTACACGTGCTATTCTGCTTGTTCGTCTCGCTTTGGTTTTCTCATTTCTCGCTTTGACGAGTTATAACTGTATTCTTTGGCTTTCCTTTGCTTCATCATGTTTCGGATAAATCAGTCGCAAGTATTACATCATGCGCATCAATTGGCTTTACTATAGCGTATCGTATAATATACTGATATAAATTTTTTCTTATCGGCGTTGACTGTTACGATTCATCTTACGCAACTGTTACAGAATCGATTGCGAGAATGTTGAATAATCGGGATAATACGTGAAACGATTAACGCAACCCTCGTGTCTAATGGAACAATAGAAATGACAAGATAGGAAAGAGTGTATTGTGTAATCCACTACTAATTACTATGATGAACAATAGTACGAATTAATACGAATTTATTAATCATAAAGAACATAGATCAGTACAATAAAACCTCAACAATAATACAAAAATTGTTAAATTGATTGATAATATTCACTAAGAATTTTAATTTTTTCTTTTTTTTTTTTCTTTTTCTATCAATGATATATGAAATTTTGTTCTAAATGTTTTTTATGATGATGCTGCGTGAAATAGACGATTAAATAGACGATAATTATTTGAAATTATATTATTATAAAAATTGTTTGATACTCTCATTGGAAAATTCGCCGCGATGCAACCGGAAAAATAAATTAGA